GTGGTACCTGTTGTTTCTTTTGCTTTTAGATCAGCTTCTTCGTTACCTCTTATGCCGACGTGTCCCGGGATCCATGCGAGTGATATACTATTTTTACGTACATAGAGTTCATTAATTATATGGCAGATAATTGGTTGCGACGTATTTAAATTGTATATGCTGATTAAGTTACTTAAAGAATCGGACATTAATAGATATTTCTTATCGTTAGTACAGAGAATGCTTTGAATGGCTATAAGTATCGCTAGGGCTTCTACAGTATAAATACTACATACCTCATCAGTTTTTAATTGTATGTTTATGTCATTAGATATCACGGCTAATCCTGACTTCTGATCGATTTTCGACGCGTCGGTATATTATATCTGTGTGTGTTCGGGGTACGATTGAAGAAGTTCGTAATGTAGACCTTTATAAATATTCTTATCAGTAGTATTTTTGTTGTATAACGATAGACTAAGGTCTATTATATTTTTATTGAATCGCCAAGGGGGTGTGCTTTGAATTGTATTGTTAATTAAGGTTACGTTTTTAATAATGAAATCTTGTTGTCTTTCATAAATTAATCTGAGATAAGATGCATTTATTGGTTTTGCCTGGGACCTTTTTTTAAAGATTTTTTTTGTACACTGGATTCTCTTGGTGTTTGGCTATTTTTAAAATGTACTTGGTTTCGAGCTGTTTTCTTCTTAAAGAAAGAGGAGGTTCTCCAGCCATACACAATATGCTTGGCACTKGGCTACTTTTAAATGCACCTAAAGATAAGCGAATGGCGAAATTTTCTATTGTATTTAGCATTTGCATGGTTCTACGGTTAGCCGCTCCGTAGACTATTGAACCGTAACCAATTTTCRATCTAATTAAGGTTTTATATATTTTAATTAGACTGTCTGCATCAGATCCCCATTCGGTGTGAACTATTGWTTTTATAATTTTAATTGATTTGAGCGTATGGATTCTTAACAGTTTGATGTGTTGGCACCAGTTGAGTTTATTATCAAATGTTAACCCAAGAATTTTAACATTGTCGCAGTAGTCAAGTGTTGTCTTTTCAAATTTAATTATAGGTTTGGTTGTTTTTCTTTGACGGGAGAAAAGTATGTATTTGGTCTTGTTCGGAGAAAAAGTGAAACCTGTTTCGAGGCTCCATTTACTTAACTTATCCAGTGTTAGTTGTATTTGATTTTTTATTGAATTCATGTTTTTTCCTTTACAATATATGTCAGTGCATCATTGACGAAAAGTTTGATCACCGTGGATGGAGGGACTTGAGTTGACATTTCATTAATTGAGWTGAGGAATAATGTTACGCTTATAGATGATCCTTGTACTACGCCATTTTCGCTTGTGAACGGTACGGATAAGGTATTTTTAATTTTTACTTGAAATGTTCTATCATAGATGTGATTTTTAATAAATTT